AGATGAAGTCAGCCTTAGGAACAGCTGACTGGCAGTTCCACAGGCCACCTGAAACTAGATGTTGGATCTCAGTGGAGCATGTGGGATAGACGAGAGCAGGCCGGTTATAGCGATTAGGAGATACACGGGGCCAGTGATAATTGCGAGAAGACACATGAACAGGAATGGAGAAAATACACATGATTATAGCATGAGGGGCTAAACAACAAAAGAAAAGAAAATAAGACACCAGCGGTAATTAGCTCAATCAGAGTAGGAGTTGCCTCCTCTTTGACACCCTCGTGACTCCCGCAGGACTCCAATGTCTTTGTCAGTCTTACTCCCGCAGGACTCCAATGTCACAATTACTGCAACCCCGACCCACCCCTGACGCACAACACACGGTCAGCTACAAACATCCTGCTAAAGATCCCCTAAGCCCATACATCCTTTGGCCGCTCCGCCTTTCAGTTTGCAGCAGCTGATAGCTGGAATATCATACAAAAAACCTTGAAGATGGAGACCGTTATCTCCCCCCGCACCTTCAGGGACACTATTACAAACACCCTGGTACACACATGCAACTGCTTTGCCTGATGCTCACTATGTCTTGACCTCTCCTATACAGTATGCATTGTCATGAAGGAATTAATTAATTAATTAATGATTGAATGGATAAATGTTCTATATTATTTTAATGACTGATTGAACCCCAGTAGTATTATTTTAAATATGTTATATGTTTAACAGCTATGCCTGTCATCTACTACTACTACTACTACTACTACTACTACTACTACTGCTACTACCAAATGTGTGTTTCGTGATAGCCTTCTACATGAGGATGAACAATTATAGAAAAGAAAACTAAGTTTAATATTTCAAAATGAGTGACCCATCTGTAAGTAGACAAGTAGATCTGTAAGGCATCCCATATAACCTGGCTGAGCCAATATAAAACAATCAGCCAAATAACTTATCAATATATTATTGGTTACTATTTTTGAGGTACTTTTAGGTTGGCAGTAAACATAAGTCAGAGGTAAATGGTGTACTTTGACTCCACTACATGTATTTAATACCTTTAGTTGCTTTACAGATGTGGATGAATGATGGTAAATATAATCAAGTGTTAAATCAGACTTTAGTTCCACCTGGAGTAAATCCACAAGCTACCCTGCAGTATACAAAGTCATTCAAACTAGCTGCATCTTTACCAGCTTTGAGAACACTTTAATGATCAATCATTATAAAACACATCATATATATTATTCTGAAATGGACCAATCTGCACAATGACTACTTTTACATAAAACATGTTCTTACCTTTATATATACAGTCTATGGTTCTTACTCAATATCAAGCCACGATTATTGTTTTTATTTTAAATCGCATAATGTCTGGCTTTTTTTTGCTGTCCGTGAGGACAATAAATGGGGCTCAGAGCCTCAGAACACTGAAATCTGTATATATTTTTTTCCTTCTAATTTGTTATTATTTGTCGCAATCAGTCGGAAGTCGCAACAGCTTTTTCAGGGTTCGGATGTTTTGTTTTGTTGTTGTAAATAAACAAAGTCTTGGCTTTCAGAATATGAAACTGTTATTGCCAAAATCTCATGATAAATACATTTTTGAAGCTTGTAAAGGGAAGAAGAGGCACCTCTCAACTCGCACCCTGCTCTTCCGCAGCGCCGCTCCCCCTCCCTCCGCTGAAATTATGAAGTAAGGGCGTATAGTAATCATAGATAACACAGCAGGGTCCGTTACAGTTTGTTTTCATCTCTTTTCAAATAAACAAAGTATTGGCTTTCAGAATATTAAACTTGTTTCGGCAAATTCAGATGAGAAATACAACTTTGAAGCTTGTAACGGCCTAATTACAAGCGGAGAACGGAGTAACTTAATGTCACAGCAGGCATAACAACAGCCGGTGTTTCTTGTAAGTGTTTCCCCGGTACACAAACACAATACACACACACATACCCGCGAGCTTCCCCCAGACCAGTAATACAAACGAAAATGTGTCTTTGGGTCAATGTGACTGATTTTGATAGAGCAAGTCACATTTGGTTTAGACATGAAACATACTACCAGTAGAAATACATTGCCAGAGCCGTCCCTGGCCAACTTGGGGCCCCAAGCGACATTGTGAGATGAGGCCCCCCCCCCCCAACTGACAGGAGTGAAACAATTTTTTTGGAAACAAAGTAGGCTACTTTGCAAATATAATTCCTGTTTGTTATTATTATCAACACAGTTACTTTTGTATACAGTGAGGTAAATGGTAAATGTGCATGTATGTCGTTCAGTATGCGTTTACAGGTGATACGTCTGCATTTCCTGCCAAATACTAGCCTCAAAAAGATTCAAATATAATTAATGCAAATAAGCTACATCTACTAATAATAATAATAATCAATTCAATAATATAAATACTATATTATTTTATTATAATATAGTTGTAATATAGTCAAGACAAAACAAGCTTATGACATGCTCAAAAACTGATATTTCTTAAATCTGTATTCAAATGTAGTTCCCTCTGTCAGCAATGTATCAACAACTACACACACATTTCTATCAGTATTTCTCTGTGTTGTGGTTGACATGATGATGACTGTTAGGAGTTAAGGGGAGAGGCTGAGCATCACCATGAAATATGCAAATTGACATAAAAATGAATAAAAGGGGAAAAATGCTCCATGTTTTTTAGGCTGTAAACTTTAACGGTTATGTAAGCCAACTAGACAGACAGATAAAAGGCATAACATACTTGAATGAATGGTAAATAAAGAATGCTGGAAATTAGGGATGCTCCGATCGCCAATTTTGGGGCCAATCGCCGGAATCAGTATCGGCCGATACCGATCGCTGATCCGATCGAGTGGGCGGGGCCTAAATGGAAGATTTAAACATCACTTTAAATCTTCCATTTAAAGTGATGTTTAAAACTCAGTTAATGGGGCTCATTCACTGGAGCTTCCACAAACAACAATCAACTTAATTATTACATTCAAATGAAGTACATTATTCAAGTTTACATTAACTTTGGATAATAACACGGGAGAAATTAGCGGAAGCGCTCTCTTTTCCTCTCTCCCCCTCTCTCCTGACAGCCTGTCAGTATCTCATGCAGCTCACTGATCCAGTCGTATGAGTGACCCGACAGTGAAGAATAAACATATGTATAACTAGTTTAGCTTGTTCCAGAGGTAGATAAAATAGCTAAGTGTGTTAGGTCTAACTCTTGTGTGTTTCGCTCCGCTCACCGGTCCGGCGGGCGGAGCTGCAGGATTTCTGCTTCACACACACGTTGCATACTGCTATTTTACTGTCTTTTTCGGACACCTTAAAATAATGCCAGACCGGTGAAGCCATTTTGTCGAGCTTGATTTGCAGCGCACAGAGAAAAGTGTCATGTATTTTACGTCATGCGATCAGCTCTCACGATCGGCATGTTTAGAGAGCACCGATCGATCGGTAGAGAGTGAGTATCGGCCGATCTTGATCGGTGACCGATCGATCGGAGCATCCCTACTGGAAATAACTTAATCTCCATTAGCCTATATGCTATGCAGAGACTGCCTTCTTCATGTCGTGGATTGCAGCTGATGTTTTCATATGGCAATTGGCAAAAGTTTGACATTTGACTTATACAACATTCGCAAGTTGTACATTTGACTCATACAATAACCCACCTTCGAGTGATGCTCTAGTTTCTTCATGTTTTGTTTTTTTCCCCTCTTGCTTGCGCCGGACTGAAACTGTCTTTTCACCGACATCTCTTCACCTGCACTAGTGGCCGTATCAAAGCCGTGATTGGTCAGATGTCGATTCATTGCAAAGGTGTCGGGTTACAGACGTGCTCCCCTTGTCACCTCTCACTCTCACGTGTCAGCGGGGGAGGGACGCACAAGCCGAGCTCATAAGCCGAGGCCCCCTGCACAATGTGAGGCCCCATGCAGCCTGCATGATCGGCCTGTAGGGAGGGACGGCCCTGTACATGCTTTTAAAATCGTTCTGTGTTGAATCAATAGATTATATTTTGTGACTATAACACGAAATGCTGTGAGACTGGGTTGAATTACAACAGTGAGTGCTTCATCCTCTGAACACCACAGGATGGCGACTGTAACGCACATATTAACATAGGTACGCTCCTCTGAAGTGATTGTCCCCTGCAATTATTATCCCTCATCGAGCTAACGTTAACTTAAACAAACGTAACATGCAACGTTAGCCTAATCCAAAATGCTCTACTACGGCGTACCTTTCATGTGGCTCGTCAGCGCAGACTCTCCCATCGTGAACAACTGAAATTATTTTTTTGCAAACTTTGCAGGAGGCTACTCGTGGGCTTGACCCTCGTCTTAGCCATGGCTTGTATTTGTCTTCTGCTAGCCAACGCTCATTGAAACTGCAACCTCCTGGCATACAGTCATTTATCACTCTCATCAGAATGCCCAGGTCACACGTAACAAAAACACTTGCAGGTCACGCGCATAGCGCGGGAAGGCCGGAGCAGAGCTGTTTTATGTAAAAGTGAAGCAATTAAGCGTGCTCCGACTTCTTTATTTTCTTTTCATCTAAAAAGCGAAGTAAAGCATTTACAATTTCAAGCACTTTATCCCAAATTCAAGCACCATTCCCAAAATTCAAGCACTTTTCAAACCTTGAAAACACCTCATAAAATGTCAAGCATTTTCAAAGATTTCCAGCACCCGTACGAACCCTGCTTATTGCTTGTATTTATTTGTGCCTATTTCTATTTATTTTTCCTGCAGTGAGAGCATCCTACGAGTTTATGATGACAATAAGGATATTCTGATGATTCTGTTCAGATTTTTTTTTTATGTTTCTGTTTTCGTGACAATTAAATATTTTGCCTTGATGAACTTCTGGAAGCAATCCCCTTCCCTAGAACTCAGTAAAGCCATGTGCATATAGCAGGGACAGTTGCTCTTTTCCCAATAAATCCAAACACATCTCTGATTCTGGTCACACATATAGAGGTACTCACTGGGTGAAGAGCTCCAGCAGCTGCTCGTGCCCTCTGCTCTGCGCCACACAGGCTGCAGTCAGCCCCCGGGCGTTGGGGGTCCTCAGGGCCCGGCGGGCCCCCGGCTGCTGCAGGAGGAACGCTGCCACCGTGCGCAGACCGTGACTGGCTGCCAGGTGCAGCAGGCCTGAGAGCTGCTGGCGAGGAGGCTCCGCTGGAGGGGGGGAAGAACAACAGTTAGATGGGGGGGTTGACTGATGAGATAGGATGGAGCGAGGTAGACCCCTCCTGGTGGAGAGAGATAAGGGACGGTAGCTTTTCACCAACATATCAGTTTACTGATATTAGTCTGTGTTTGAATGTGGGTATTACCAGCTCAAGATTTAGAGATAATTGTAAAAACTTCTAACCATTTTTTACCTTCAAGATAAATAAAGTACAGTCATTGATAGAACTAAAAGGGAAAAGGACTTTCCTGCATTATTTTAACAATGGATTGGGAACTAATGTGCAAAAACATTCATAATACAATTAACTCAAACAACTGGAAAAAAAACAATTCAGTATTTAAGGCACCTCAAATTCAACAAGAATAATTCATTTTAAAATACTGGAGAGAATACACAAAAACATTACTAATGTGACCATCCGGTTAGATGTGACAATTAATGTATTCATGTAAAATTATGTAATAATGATGTATCTGTTATCTATTCAATATATTCCATAAATGATTGTTCATCAGTTGTTTTTTTTCTGATTTGTTATTTGGTGATAAATGTATTTTAGTTTCAACTCTATTTAATTGTCTCTGACCTGTAATCATATCATTTCTTAAAATGCAAATACACATTTTTTAAAAACTCAATGATCTTTGGGCAGACAGTACATCAACTTACAAACAAATGTGATTGATTTTTATCTTTTTCTTTATGTTGAATACAACATAGTGACATGACATATAAAGCTAGGAGACCAATTCTTTATCACCATAAGTCACTGGATAAGAGCCAAATGTGACTCAACTAGATGATGCCACCTCTGTTCCGCTCAGTCAATTCCACATCTACCGTACCTCACAATAGAAAAACCCCTAATTGGGCAAGGCATAGTTCCATAGAGAGCCAATAACTTGAGTTAAATTGAGAGGAACGAGTGGATAACATATTTAACATACTTGATAAATAACTTATTTAAAAACTGGCCATGTGCTTTATCAGGTTTCAGGTTAAGAGCTACAGAAGGCCTGAACAAAAACAGTTTTTATCTGCTGTACACCTCATAACCCTCTGGACTATGTAAAACATTATTGAAATGCTGTATGACCATGTAAATGTTCATCAGTACACACAGAGATCATTGGTCACCAATACACTGAGTTGGGTATTGGAATTGGCTTCAGGTCAGATTGTGTAAAGTCACTCAGATGTGACACGTTAGATCTGAAGAGAGCAGCATGCAGCTGTGTAATAAACTCAAACGGTGAGTAAGTCCTACAGAGTAATTATGTGACTGTCTGTGGTGGAACACATCAGCTACATGACTTTTTCAGGCTGGGTGTTTCCCACAGCAACGGATGAGTGACAACTGAGCGGTGGCATTAATAGGAGACGCACTGTCAGCTTTTTTCTGTGGTGTAATATAGAGTGGTTCAGTGACGACGGCACAAAACAATTGGATTTTTCCATTGGATTTTGGAATATCACAGAAAATGTGATATTTGTCAAACAGGTGTTTATGCTACATTTTTGCACATTTTGTTTAGCGTGATATTGTCCAAATATTAACACCACTTGTATGATAGTTGAACGTAAATGTAATCAGTAGAAGTTATGCTTTAAACAAACTACATCACGGTAGCATGACTTCAAGTCAACACTGCTAAGTTAACGGCGGCTAATGTTCAGAGTGTTTAGTAGTCTCGTTTAGCCACTTGTCTTATGTCGTAAAACAAGACGTGAAATATTTTAAGCTTGTGTTAACCACTTATCTTATTTCCAGCACCTAACCAAAAACATGCTAAAAAACCATTGAATTTGAGATGGGGGGAACCAGGAAGGGATATAATGCTACGTAATGTCCAGTTTTAAGACTGATTCCTGCACAACTCCATTGACAATAACAGTTTAAACCATCCACTGTTGGCTTTGTGAAGTGTGAACTATGTAGCTTAGCTTGCTAATGTTAAAGCTATAAAGAAAGAAAGGTCAAAGTGAGTTAACAGAGAACATTCAGGCAGTTTAGCCCGTTATGCCTGTTTTTATAAAACAGATTTGGGGATTAATTAAAAACTGTCTCACCAGTGGACACATCTGTGCTCGTTTCATCATGTGTGTCATTGTCGTGTCCGTCCCTACCACTGTGTGTGTGAATCCCGGGTCGAGTCCTCAGGTGTCTCAGGGCCAGAGCCAGACTCTTGTCCAACCGCTCACACTCCTTCAACACACAAAATGAAATCATTTCATCTTCTCTGTGTCCCCTTTTTAATTATGTTACATGTCTTACTTACAGACACAAAGCAAATTAATTCAAATCATTCTCTACAAAATCTAAAAGAATATAATAGTGAAAGTAATAGCATAAAAAGCCCAAAAGATTACATTTTATATCAAATAAAAAAAGTCAACTTTTTAGAGCTTCTTGTCTTACCTGCTCATCATCCAATAGTAATGCTTCCTGTGGAGCTATGCTGTCAAGCAGGAAGTGGGCCATGTCGAGAGCCAAGTCCTGCACACAGCACGAAATTCACAATTCACAAGAAACATCACAGACACACAACAATGCCATCCTTATGTGCACATCCTTAATTTGAGGACATTTATAACCACATCAGTCAGTTTCATTTAACGTTTCAAAAGGTTTCATCAGCTGCTCTTGTCAACTAATGAGACACTCTTAAAAATGATGTAAAATATTACATAATTAACCGTTGTGGAACAGCATTGCCAATCAAAATGGAAATGTAAAAAATATGTTTGGGTTCCTTTTGGATATCTGACTTTTTACATGATAAATTCTGAAAAAGCACCACGTATTTTCACCAAAGGACAGATTGAATGGATTTATAGATATCGGATAAAAGTCAGCAAATATTGCCATTTCCATATCACATATTGTTATGAATTGTTACCTGTACGAAGCAGAAGGTCTCCTGAGAGCGCGAGTCCACTGCTCCATCAGGCTGAACCCAGCATAACGTCACCAAGACCTGCTCACACACATTATGAGCTACACACACACACACACACACACACACACACACACACACACACACACACACACACACACACACCACACACACACACACACACACACACACACACACACACACACACACACACACACACACACACACACACACACACACACACACACACACACATACAAGGTTGTGTTTTATTGGCAGCACAAGCAGCTGAGGCAGAGGCAGTATCGACTACATGATGTGCTAACAGACAGAAAAAGGTGGGGCTACTGAGAGATAATGACTTGTGTACTTGTGACCCAGCCTTCAGGAGTCAAATCAGAGCAACTTCACCACTGTCAGCCACTAACTTCCACATAAAACAAACCACATTGAGTGATCAGATGGCAATCTGAGGGAAAACATATTCAGGAAATGTAACGTTTTTCATTCTCAAATAACCATTTTCTTCTGAAATGTGTTGCATAGTAGTTCTGTGCTGGTGCTAGTTTGGGCGCAGTTGGTTCAGCTTGTTAAAGCTAATATTGGCTAATGATGCATATTTTATTCAATATTTGGCAACATAAGGCCGTAAAAAAGGATTAGGAACAGATAGTGCTCGCAGTATGATAGCAGCAGAGATAATATGACACATTACACAGAGGGGGGTCACAGTGCCTCTCCATGACAGCGGCTTTGTCGATGCTTTGGCTAAGTGTCAAGAAATTGTCAGAAATCATGCTATTAATTCAGAGATCATGTTATGGCAAAGTAAAGACCCTTCTGATTTCTCTTATCAACTTGTCATGCATTTGTTTATTACAACACCAGAAAAACTCAAGGAAATACTAGTATTTTTCACTTGATTAATCAGGATTAATCACATATTATTACTCTCACTAACGCAATTAAATTATTTAACCGATTGACACTTCTTGTTTTTTTGGCCACAGCTGATGTTAAATGGACCAGACTACTTTGTTGTGCATTGATATGACTGCACATGGTGCCTTTAACAGAGCGTTCTTAGCAATGGGCTGCTACTGGGTAAAAACAGACTGCTGAATCTCCAATTGACCAATCAGAATCAACTACCATGTAATGGAAATAAATAATGACTGAGTCTGACCAGACGTATAAAGACCTGCTGATAATCCTGATAACACATCCAAAACGGTGTCCTCATAAGCTGTAAATGTTTCCATGCAATCCATTAGTGAGGAACGTGTGTGCATCAAACAGAAGCTCTTTTAATCATAGGGAGAAACATCCACCCCCTCCATCCTTTTCTTACAGCTACAGTAATTACTGCCAATGGGTTTTAAAGGACTTTGCCTACACTTTTGGAGAGTTGGTCTTCCTACCACTAATCTGCTTAGTACTGGTACTAAAATCTCCTGCGTAAGAGTAACTACACCCTGACTTAAACCCATCTCACGCTGCCACCTGGAGGTCTCTACATGCCCTGCCACACCTTGTGCTATTGTGGAACGCTACATCCCAGCTGGGTGTGGTCATAAACACAACATAGCACACCTACTAGTAATACAGGCAGAGGTGTGTAGTGACATTTTAAAATCATGCTGCAACTATTCAGAGCTTATTAAAAACGCCTGCTTATACTATCAATAACATCACATGTCCACCAGATCCACTTCATATGGAGAGCAAGAGAAGCAGTGCATGGGAGTGCTGAAGTGAGTTGGACGGGGTCTGTATTTGGATAAAGAAAGAAAAAGTGAGTCCGACCAGTGTGATTGCTCACAAAGCCTTGACCAATATTTCAATCTAGACGATGTAGTTCTATAAGCTTGAAGCAAGATGGAGCAGTAGCTCTTTTCTCACCTCAAATGTATTCCTTTTGTGTAACAAGAAGGGTATGAGTAGGATGCCATGTTGCATTCCTTCTTGAAACGGAAAACCAGGGACCAATCAGTTGCTTTCAACCATACGCTGCATAACCGCTATAGGGGCCAGTTTTTCCATTGCTTCATCCCTACCTGATTCCATCCATCACTCCCACCAACTATCTAACCATCCATCCATGTACTGCCTTGTATGCAGTGTCGAGTCACTTACATCATTTCCAGTAGAAATTAGGTACTAATACACTTCAGCTATAAGAAGTTGCTTCCCTATTTGCAACTATTTCATTGCCCCTTAAACCGATTTTCCACAAGAATATAAACCTAGAGGTGGTATTACTGCCAAAACTGTTTAAAAAAAGTCATAATTTGTGTATAATGTAAAATATTGTTAGTTGTAATTTTATCAGAACAAAGTTGATATTATCATAGGATAAAGAAGGATTATAACATGTTATGTACTGTTATATTATGAGACAAAGTGAGAGGGTGTGTGTGTGTGTGTGTGTGTGTGTGTGTGTGTGTGTGTGTGTGTGTGTGTGTGTGTGTGTGTGTGTGTGTACCTGGACACACCGCCTGCAGGGTGACGTGGCTGACTCGCAGCGTGCTGGTCAGATGTCTTTGAGTAGATCCTGAGAATAAAAGGTAAAACTCCACCTTCTCTTCTTCATCCTCAGCACGACACACATCATCTTCCTCCAGGTGAACAGTCAACACACACTCTCCCTGAAGTGACACACACGGGCAGTGAAATCAACTTTGTTCCAGACAGCGATGCAGAATGGTGATGTTGAGTTCATCCCAGATTGATCCCAGCTGAGAGATCTGAACCAATCTCGATCTGAAGGTCAACCCGAGACTGTACATGGAATTATACATGCGATAGAATATTTTTGTATATAGATATGAATTGATTTATATGGTTGTATTTAAAAAGATCTAAAGGGTGGTGTATATTGTTATCAAGAGATGATCTAAACCAGCGGTTTTCAAAGTGTGAGGCGCGCCTCCCTGGGGGGCGCCAGAGAGCTTCAGCGCAGCGTGAGAAAAAAATAACGAGAAAAAGACGAGTAAAGTGTCACTTGCACACTTTTGGCTGTCTGTGAAGACCAAGTTCCCCCACCTCGCCAAAAAGGCTGTAAAAGTGCTCATTCCCTTCACCTCCACCCAGGGGCGGACTGGCCATCTGTGTGTTCTGGAGAATCACAGAAAGGCCGGTCGTCAGCGGGCCGTTGACGGCCGGCTCAGTTTTTTATGTTTTTAAACGGCATCATATTAGTTGCGCTGAGGCGACAGAAGTCCGTTCAGCGGGCCGTTTCCACGCAGCGAGGCTCCCCCCCCCCCACTTTGATCAAAAGCAAGTACCAGTCAAGGCTGCAGCCAGAGGATGATCTGCGTTTATTCCTGTCTACATTGCATCCACGCATCATCCGCCTGTGCGCATCAAAGACGCAGACTCATTGTACCCACTGAAGTAGGGGTGAGTGTAATAAGGAGGCAAAGTTTACGTTCAGCGTGTTGCCGGGAGCATATAAGGATTTATCCACGATGTTGAAAATGTTAAAAAAATAATAATAATTCATTTTAAAACAGAAAGATAAAAAGGTTTAAAAAAGTTATTGTTTAATGTTTTAAGGAGGTGACGCTACTCAGCCAATCAAATCGGTGCAGTCAGTGAGTCAGCACGGTAGATTCAAACACACACACACAGAGACGAGACAAGAAGAGAGAAACTGCAGTGAGTCATTTCAAATGGCGTGCTCAAAAAAGAGAAAGGTAGACAGCGAAAACAGAGCGTTTAATGACATGTTCTCTTGCTGGACCTCTTTGAAATGCAAATAGCCGCGTTCACACCGGAGTACTTTCACCCGTACTTTTCCCCTTTAGTTCCGTTAGTGCCAGTGCCCGTTGCGTTCACACCAAAAAGTTCACTTGGTTCAGGGCACTTTTAGCCCCATGTTTAGTGCCTGCTAGAGAGGTGGTACTCTCCTGGGGGAAAAAAGTGCCCCAGTTCTGATTGGCTGGGCGAATTGCAAACCACGCCCCGTAAAACCCTGAAATGTTTTTTGAAGCCGCCATTGTATTGGCTAGCATTAGCATTATTAGCATTAGCATTAGCCCCGCGCACCAACGGAGAGAGAATAACTTATGGCAACACAAAAAAAAACATGGGAGCGGTGGAGATGAGGAGGTGTCGGCGTTCTGGCGATTTACTCGGAAGGCTTCAGTAGAAGCTGCTGGGACTCCCAGCAGCTTCTACTGAAGCCAGTCCCCAACTCCGGGGACTTCCGGCCGGGGACTTCGGGTGGCAGTATACGCCGTGAAGTTGTTTGCGGCCTGCCAGTAAACTCAAAGCAGAAGAAGAAGTGACGTCAGCGGCTTCATTTGCATAATCTTCCGGGAAGTACACGCGATCTGTACTCAGTCCCCCACACTGAGTACTGCAAAGTACGCGGTGTGAACGCGGCTATTGAATACCCCTGCATTATAGCAACAGCAACAATAATAATAATAGCAATAATAATTGGGAGGGGGGGCACGGCTGTTCTTATGTTCTCTGAGGGGAGGCTCACCTTCCTACACTTTTAAAACCCCTGATCTAAACCATGATATTTATCATAGAATATATATTAAATGATCTAAACCTTGACGTTATCGGGGTGAAATGATATTTTTTGTGACAGAAAATAATGGCATCACCAAGCCCTAAATAAGCGCTTGGTGAGTAGACAAGGATATTTTGGTTAAAAAGTCAGAATAGAACCTTCACAGTTTTCCTGGTTTTATGCTGTGAAACATGACACACTCTTCTGCTGAACACGCAGCCACAACCAAACACGCACACGCTAACAATAGCACACTGGAATGTTTCAGATCCAACACACAAAGTCACACACTATCATACACCCACACTCTTGCTCAGAAAGTGGCAGAGATTTTAAGTTTGCAGTCGGTTGGTCAAACAGCAATAAAAGTGCTTGAATGCACCTTAATACAAACGAATAGCCCTTAGTTACCTGACTTCTAACGGCTAATGTTAACTAGCTCTTTTGCTAATTTAAACGCAGATTTATTGCTCACAATGTAGCATTCAGGAAAAAATTGTCTGCATTCGAGTGTAACAATTAAATACTTGTAACAAACTAGTGGTATGCTTTCTAATCCATATTTAGAGCATTATTGTAGCAACAAACAAGTATTAGCCATGTGCATATTAGTGGATGTGAATCCTCAACCCAGTCTCACGGCATTTCATGTTATAGTCACGACATTTAATCTATTGATTCGTGTTCACCAACATGATTTTCCCCTTTTTTTCGTGTCACACAGAACGATTTTAAAAACAATGTATTTCTATTGGTAGTATGTTTCGTGCCAGCAGCACGTCTTTTTGTCCGTTCGGGTCTTGGAAGACCGGAAGCTGTGAGGTTCATAAAAACATCTTCTTACTCAATAGCAAGCCACGATTATTGTTTTTAAAAAGGTTTAAAAAAATACAGATTTCAGTATTCTGAGGCTCTGAGCCCCATTTCTTTTCCTCACAGACGACAAAAAAAGTCCATATACGATTTAAAATAAAAACAATAATCGTGGCTTGATATTGAGTAAGAAGATGTTTTTATGAACCCCACAGCTTCCGGTCTTCCAAGACCCGAACGGACAAAAAGACGTGCTGCAGGCACGAAACATACTACCCAGTGGCGGCCGGCCCATAGGGGCGCTAGTGGCGCTAGGGGTGCCGCCCCACCTCTTCCCACATTAAAAAAATTATTAAATTAAAAAATATATATTAAAAAAATATATATTTAAAAAATATATATATTTTATATTTTTATTTTTAATGAACAAGGTAAATATCATACAATTGGTATCAGTAAAATGTATAATCTACAATAAAATCTCGTTAAAAATTGTGTTACGATGTCTAAAGTTACTGATAAGTCACATGTTTCCTGCCTGGCCTTGCCCATGGCATTAGTTTATCATTACCGGGCGGAGCCCCCGAGACAAACAGCAGCAACCAGCACGTTGCAAAAGTCTCAATAGTAAACTGTGCCGCCGAAACATAATTTCAGCCAATCAGCGCCGTCAAATATTTTGGTCACGAGGGCGCTCACGTTGGCGCCCACGTTGCTTACGTGACGTGAATTGTTTTTTAGACTCGTGAGTGACCAAGGTGACGCAGTATTTAGAATGGTGTGCAGGTGGAGTCGCCGGACCTCGGTCCGCACCCAATTCCGTGCAAGAGCTACTCTCCAATCCTTTCCAAAGGAGAAGTTTGGGAGATAAATTGATACTTAAAGACCTTGGACCGGACCAACCCGATTTGTATATATCACAGCAAGCTCGTGAAAAAGACAAAACGTATCAACGAGGCTAGCTGGATGCAAACGATGCAAACAGGTAAATGCTATCTTTTGTTTCCCATGCTTGCTCTTCAAACAGCCGGGGACAGGCAGATCTGTTCAGAAACTAGACAAAAGTTAAACAAGTACAAACCACAGACTGTCTGTGTCATGTAGAATACAGTCGCTGGTTTATTTATGTCTGTATAGGCCGTTGTTGTGAGTGTGGACGGTCGGAACATATATAACGTTAGCTTAGCCAAGCTCCATTCAGAAAACAAGCATTCTAAAAGGTTTTTCGCCTGCCTTCTGTCTGCAGACTTGTCAAAGCATTAATTCATGGTTTTTACTAACCGGTATCAGTATGTTGTTACGTCGGCATCATTTAGAAATGTGTATTACAATTTAATCACGGTAAAATATGTTCATTTTGTTGTAGTTGTAGCTCCCGAGCCAGCGCGTCTTGTTTGAATGATGCGAGTAAACACAGCTGGCAGCCGCGGTGAAACTCGAGCGACTTGAGCGATGCGATAGGAGCGTTTAGAGCGAAGCGAATATTCGCATCGCGTCCGGTCTGAACGCAGCATTAAAGCGAGCTCCGCGCTGCACTGGACGCGCCATTACATCACCAGAAGTCCTAATTTAAGGGGTCATTTCTCCCAAAAAAATATGTTTTACTCACTATATCAAAAGCCCCACCAAAAATATTTTCCACCAGCCGCCACTGATACTACCAATAGAAATACATTGCTTTTAAAATCGTTCTGTGTGACACGAAAAAAAGGGGAAAATCGTGTTGGTGATCACGAATCAATAGATTAAATGTCGTGACTATAACACGAAATGCCGTGAGACTGGGTTGGAATCCTGTCGTTGCTAGCTAATGGCCGCCACTCTACAGTGCCCTTATAAAGCTGCCATTTACTGATAAAGTTGTTGCAGAAGCTTAAACGTCAACCTTTAAGCTTGTGTTAACCAAGCTTTAAGATAACATTATTAGCTCTGTTAGTATTGTTGCCTCTGTTAGCACACAAAAAGGGTTCTAATGTGCTTCACAGTTAAAAGAAGATGATAAATAAAACAAACAGAAAAAATAACCAAGAGGGGATCAATTAAAACACTTAAAAAAACTATAGGTTTTGAAATTAGACATACATTCAAATACACAGGAGAGCAGATAAGCAGCATTGCAGTGCACATTAACAAAAATGCTAACCTGCTAGCCGCCATCAGCGGTTTAAATGAGATAGATAACAGACAGGAATTAAAGAATATACCAACAGGCTTTATCATGCAGCTTTCTGGTATCATTCTGATGCTGTGTGATAACGACAGATACTTACATATAGTGGAGCCTGTTGGGGATTCAGCTTCATGGCACTGATATCTAGAAAAGGAAACAGAGGCACAGAGTTCAGCACAACACACACACACAGACAGGAATATGTCATTCACACACAGATGGATGAACAATTGGTTTTAAGGCTTTTACAATTAAATATAGAAAGGCTCTGCAATAAATGTGAATGGAGGAACCTCTGGGTTCTGCATTCTCTGAAATATCCAGCAGGGGCGACTCAAGTGTTACAAAAAGTGACATAATTGTATAGAAGTCTTTGAAGAAAGGAGCCCACTGTTCACTTGCTTTATTACCTCAGGAAAGACATTGTGCACCTGTGTGAGAGGAAATAACGCCAGCAGGCAGCGGTAAACTGTATGTGTCATTCTGAAAAGGGAAACAAGAAGGCCTATAACTGCAAAATATACCAGCTGATGTTACGATACATACATTAAACAAAGCTCTTTCTCACACTACTCCCAATCAGCACCTCATCCCAGATGTAAAAATATCTGTGTATTAGAATGATCAGCAAATAAAGATGAAACATGAAGAGACTGTGCGCTGTTCACTTTGTTTGCTTGTTTTCCTCACTTCCCTTTCTCTTCTGTATATTGATTATTTTAAACTCAATAGAGTGTTGCAGAAATTATTTTTTTTGTAGGCCGACCTGGAAGCCAGCAACACAAGGGCCCTCTCAACGAAAAGCAACATTATTTCTCCATTGGACTTCGGAATATTGAAATAAATCTGCTCTGTGGCAAACAAATGTTGATGATACTTCCAGGTTTTTTTCAGCAGGGTTATCTCCATATATTAACATCATTCTTAGAACTATTGGAGAGTTAATGACTTCGCAACTGAAACTAATGCAAGTAAAAATCTAACGTAGATTAGGGATGGGTATCTTTAAGGTTTTAACGGTACTACTACCTTTATCGATACGCTTATCGATCCGGTCTTTTAACGGTTCTCTTATCGGTTCTTTTGGAGAAAAAAACAAGGTACACTAACTAAACAAATTGTGAACAAAATTAACATTGCTTTTTATTTAAATTAAATACATAATATTTCACATCAAAAGAAACAACAATGTTTTAACAAATCGTATTAAATAATCTGATGACAGACTGTGAACAGAATAGCTGAAACTTTAACAAAATAAAGAGTAACTCAGTTTCCTCTAATCATTAACCCATGTTTGTATCATTGAGTTAACTCCGTGTGTTGCTGCTAGCATACATAACACCTGACGTGGAAACGTTACTCCTGGATGGGGCTACAGAGCTGCTAGAAAGACAGTCGAACCCGGTGCATTCCTCCGTCTGAATGTGGAGCACTTTTGCTAAATGTTTAGACAAATTGCTCGTGTTACCGCCCTTACATGCTAAACTCTTACTGCACTTTTGGTAACTTTGTCCACATCGAGACGGCTATAGTTTAACCACACCTCGGATCGGAGCGCGTTCTCTCCGCCATCTCCTCCGTGTGTGTGTGTGTGTGTGTGTGTGTGTGTGTGTGTGTGTGTGTGTGTGTGTGTGTGTGTGTGTGTGTGTGTGTGTGTGTGTGTGTGTGTGTGTTGCTGCATGTAGCAGCCACGTGTGTGTAAGGGAGCTGCCCCGCCCCCTCGCACACAGACGGGAGAGAGAGATCTCGTCTGGATTGGAAAGATCGAAAATACTAAAAATAATCATAGACGCATTTTGCAGTATTAGAAACGGAGTTGGCAACACTAAAACGGCAATATAATGTTTGTGTAGCATAATATATAATACATATACAAAGCCATTTTTAGATGTCTCCAGTGACGATAAAAAGACCGATAACGTCGGAGCTTAACGGTACCATGGTCTTTAATAATTCAGCCCCGGGGCCCGTTTAATACCGGGCCTCGGTACCCATCCCTAGTAGACATATGTCAGCATTATGACATTTAGTTGTCTTATTGATATGTAAACGCTTCAATCATTCACAAAAGTGGTACATACTGACCATTTTCTATTCATGAAACATTACATCAAAAATAATTGAGCTTGTATTAACCGCTGACCTTATTTTAGAGCATCTAACCGAAAAATAATGTTCTTTGTGACAAGCAAACCAAAAGTACCTACATGCCAACTCATATTCAGGTTATTGGACTCATTCCTGCATCACTCTAAACACGCTATAGCTAATCAGAGTGATATCTGGAAGGGCTCCCCAACCGGACTGTCGTCAAGGGTGGACTTGTGCAAACGGTGACAATACACCACAAAAACTACGGCAAAATACACTGACTGAAGGCCATCAGTGGCCAACAGCGACCATTGGCTTGATTTGATATTTGGACATCGACAATGAGGGACACAGACCTGCACTGTGAAAGTGAAGAGAGACATAGTTTGAAAAGCTCCATTGGTCCTGGGGTGATGCCAGTGAAATGAAGGGCAGTGTACGTCACAAAGTGCTGTGATGTGTGAGCTAAAGAAGCTGATTCTTTCTATAGTCGAGAATCACAGCATCTCATGTACACGGAGGCGGCAGCGACTGGATCTCTGTATAAATCCCATTCTTCCAGACTTGTCATAAAGACGAGTGGGGGTGACCACTTAGCTATTCTACATGCACTCATGTGGTTGTCCCATTCATTGGCAGGAAACAGGAAGTCAGAGGAAAACAGAGGAGCCTCACAAGTCCTCCTCACACAGTCACAGGAGAACACAAGCCTTCTTCACAAAACACAGACACACACACAGTCTGGTGGAGGCAGAGAGACAGGCAGATAGACAGATGGCTGTAAGACATCTGCAGTGAACTGCCCTGATTGGAGAACCATGTATAAACAACGTTTGAATGGGCGAATGATCCTGAAATGTACATTATACATTATTTTTGTAAGGGGCCACAAGGGAACAAGTGCTGTGTCTCAATTCAGACTTTCCTTTGAGTACGGCATCTTGTGCACTGTGACTTATCCAGCGTGTGATTTTGGACCATGCAGTGTTGTCTCAAATCGCACACAGCTGCTGTACCCTAACCGGAAGTAATCATTGCTATTGTTAGCTAGCTAGCTTGTTGCAAACGATTGATTGTAAGTGGTACCAAGTCATTATATACCAGTGTTTCCCCTATATACAAATAGCGGCGATACAGGACTCCATCCTAGGGGAAACACTGTATACTAATTAGTGGTGCACGATAATTATCAGCCCGATAATTATCGGTCCGATTATTATCCGATAATAATAAAAAGAAAATAATACTGCGGTGTGGGGCGCTTGTTTTTCACTCGGCTCCTCCCGTTTTGCCAGTACTGTGGTATTAGTGGTTTAGGAAGAGGGGAGTTTTTCACAAATCCAGCGCTCCCTAACTCATGCCTGGCTGTGACGTAAAGGGTGTGCGGCCGTGAAGCCAGGACAGTAAACAAACATGTCGCCGGTAGTATGGGACTATTTCAAAGTTTCACAGTTAGATAGTTTGCTTGCTATTTGTATTAACAAATGCAGAAGTTCCACGAGGAGGGAAAAAGGCAACGAGCTATAATACTTCCAACCTGATTTGTCACCTGAAACATCGCCATCGCTACGATGGTGTGTTAAAAGCATACGAAGACGCCTGCGCTGCTAAACTAGCGGTGAATCCAAAGCCAGCTGCAAAGGCACCGGGGCTTTTACCTATCGACAAGGCTTTTGAAAAAGGCAAGAAGTTTGCCAGAGACGACCCCAGGGTTCGTTTTGTTCATAGTAGTAATGCTCATGTCATTTGCTCACTACTAGTCTTTTTTTTACCACCAGGTGTGCAAAAACTACAGGTACATTTATATATATATTATATTATTATCGGTTATCGGTATCGGTCTTGAGAAGCAGGAAGTTATCGGTAAAAAACAATATCGTGCATCCCTAATACTAATCTATTAACCCTGAACATCAACAGGGGCTTAATTGCACCACCAGTATAGTTTTACTTTACTAAAGTTGTGGGAAAAACCCACATGTAAACTTTTATTTGTATAATGCTATGTTTACCAGAGCAACTGCAATCACGGCTGGTTGCCTAACATCCTAAGATTTCTGTGTGTCCAAAGAGCCAGTGTGTAGTTTGTAGGGGGAACTATTAGCAGTAATCAAATCAAATATTAATTAGTGAATTATCACATAAAACTAAGAAATGTTAAGACTTTGTGATAGCTCATATCTATTTTGAGAGCTGGCCATTTTCAGTCTGCCATCTTCATGTTTTTAAGGTAGACAAAGTGGAAAACCCTGGACAAACTTGGCGATATAGAGGACCTTTCACATTGTATATTGCTTAAATACCATCGTAGTTCTCTAACGCTCTTTTAACCTCTGCTAACACCATCCTTATTTACCACTATCGAAGCCTTCAGGGGACTAACTTATTTTGTCCTGATAATGTTACATTGCGAACAACACATCTGTGTTAAAATATAGAGGAAAGCTAACATTAGCAGTTACCTCTAAGCTGTTCGCAGCCGATGAAAGGAGGTTCCAAAGAGTTACACTAGAACGTGTTCAGACTCGGTTCAGTATAAATATTACTATATTATAAAATATATATAATATAAGGCCAAGGTAAATTATAACATTGATTTGGTTAAATGTAGTCTTGTAAAATGTTGTTTTCGGTGAGACGCCAAACTAAATCCAGAAGTTTTCACAGGTAAATTACATAGATATTAGAGAGGAATTATGACCTTGTGAACTTCTTAAAAAGAAAAACAGAATTAAAAAGGTTATAAAGCAAGGTATCTAGAAGTAGATGAGATTTATTGTTTTGTTTTTCACAGTGGTATTGGTATCAACTACGACTTCTGTGACATTTCCTATATTCATGAGATATATTAATCAGTAAGTGAAGATGAACTTGAACAAGAGAGCAGTGTGTCACGGATACTGAGTAAATCAAAGGAAACACTGTGTTCTCCAAACTATGGAGGGCAGCGTTCGGCATGACTAACTAACTACACATCTTCTGTGGAAACGCAGCAGACGTATACTGAAGGTACAAAGAGATGGAAGCTAAGTCATCGAAGACCATTCAGC